TCATGAAACAACTAAAAATTAGCTAATTATCTTGCTAATTAGGTAATTAATATGCATGGATTTCACTTAAAACCTAATCAAATCGCATTAGCCCAGGGCATCAATACACCGAGTTTCATAAAATAAAACAACATATGGTTCTTGAAATATCAGTGGAACGAACACATACAAACTACAGACTAACTGCAAATACTCCCATTCAATATATTTTGCTATTTACATCACTGTATTCAAGACAGATTTTAAAAGATTGCCTGAACTGTCAATACATATTTTGTCTACATGGGTTTTAAAAGGCCATGGACCATGCCATGTTTTTATAATCGTGAATGTATACCGAAATTTGGTAATACAAGTACGTGCGTCTTTCTCATCATGGTATTCCACCAAATGCATTGTATATACATGCACACTGTATGTACTCAGTATGAAATCTTGAAAATTAATCTCAGTATGGTGTCGCGCTAGTACAAGTTATGTATTCATAGTAGAATGTTTTGTCAGTTTTGATTGAAATGTATTTTATTCCTGGAATTTTTATTTTTAGAATGATCTAGAGATACCCTCCTACAAGAAAAACACAGTTGATTGGGATTTCTTTACAATGAACATTTGGGCCATAATAGTACCTCATATTTTCAGATGGAAACGATAAGCATGCTATTAAAAAAACACAATACGCGAATACGGAGAACAGGAGCACTTTCACGATTCGCAAGCCCAAATTATATGATTTCACGGGAGGCGACATATTCTCGATTAACGTAAAATAATTCAGATGAACCCTGATTCTAAACAAATAAAAAAAAATACAATCACGGGCACGGGTCCTCCAAACATCCTTTCTCCTCTAAATATCGTAGTATGGTTACTATGGTTACTTGGGAACCTTGGACCTGGTATTCACACAAAGGCCATGGTACTCAATAAGAAAGAATTGTTAAGGTTCCACCCCTATCCTGAATCTTAACCTTAATCCCCCGTGTAATTCAATATGCCCCTCCAAATAACTATACGTGTCCCGGAAAGGGCATATACAATTTAGGCACTGGAGGGGAAGTGTTAGAATAGAGTTATGGGTAAGGGGTCACTAGGTCTTACCTAATGTAAATCCATTTGCGACCACCCTTTGATATCATTAACCATAACCTTCCATGCAAGAATCGCGTTTGCAAAACTAATTTATTTAGCAGAATTTTGAAATTGCAAGGCCAGATATATAGACAATCGTAGAGCAACGATTTTGTGCAGAAATCAAGTGTTAGCGCAACAATGGATTTCTTTCCAAAAGTGAACTCTGTATACGAGACAAAACAGCGCACATGTTATATATTCGAACAAACAGTACTAGTGAAACATAACATTGGCTTACGTATTGTAACCCGGCGTTCCGTCACTTTCGTTATCTGCACGTATGTTAGTTCTTCTAGTGTCCGCTACTCTCTCACTCACTACGTTAAATACTATGCTACTGAACATATATTTGAAAGCCCACTGTAGTATGTGAAAGCACGCCACAGTTACAAGACTTACTGTCTGTCGGCCAAGAACGATGGGCTGAATTTATTGCATATCTCCGCGGATTGATTTGTTTGTGAAACCCCCAGAGTGAAGTGAAGAGGAAATCGTGAAGAAGCTTTTAAAAGTAGGAACATGAAAATTAACTCCCGCTGTTTTTTCGATCGACATAATATGTTCTAGAATAATAAATAAAATTTGTGGGATAACCGTGATGTCCGCGCATTGGTCTACATCTGTGAAGTAAACACTTTAAATCGACATATAACTCTTGTCAATTATTAAAATCATTCAGCACTAAGAATTTGTTTACTTCACTGTACATATAGTAGATCCTAATACAACTCAGCGGAAGCATAAACGTTTTCCCCATTCAAATCACAAATAATTGTGAGGGGGCGTATACTTTACGATAGATTAAGTATAATTACTTAATAGATTGTCCATGAATCCTTGCACACACTAGTATTGGATAGATAAATTAATCTCTCGGCCGATGAGGTTAATAAGAACTGATTGTTTGTTATCACTAGTTAAAATATACATAGTCAATCAGAATGCTCCATTGCGGGACCGAGTTTTACAGCAGTTAAAGATGTGACACTGATCAAATGTTACTGATCTAGGGAGAAACCACAATAGATAGGTTGGGACTTGGAGCTCACACAACAATCTAACTGAAAAAAAAAAAACTTGGAAGTCGATGTCGATCATTGTTAGATCATGAATATTCATACTTGGTCATTATGCAGATCTTATGTATTGACCACAAATTCGGAAAGGTCAAAGCTCACACAAGCATGTACTACTTTGCGTAACAAATATTCGTAGACTTTTATAGCATATTTTACTTGCAAATAGAAGGATGCCTCCCATTTTCCCGCTACGAATATTGACCCAAAATAGTTTAACGAGCTCACTAATGGCCTTCAAAAATATGAGAATTTCCGCAAATTATATATATATGTATGGTTTGTGACGGTGAGTTTTAAGTCACATAATGCCCACCTACTTAGACTGTTCTGTGATATGAACTCCGACCTAAAAACATGTCTCAGTTTCGTTAGCAATTGATAACACAGTACGATTTGATATCAGCAGGTC